GAGGAGGAGTGAGGAGCGACGCGCTGCCGCCCCTCGACATAGGGAAGACAGGGAGGAGCAGGCGAGGGAGAACCCTGGGAAGACCAGAGACAAGGACACGACGGTGCATGCTACGAAGGCGCTGCACCGAGGGGTGACCAAGACGGTGGTGCCAAAGGAGGGTCTGGTGCGACAAAGCGCGACACGAGCAGGGGGCCGCTAGCTGACCTAACGTAGACGCAGACGCAGCGACCTGAGGGGACACAGTAGTCAGTGTGTACAGACTCGAGCCAGGCGCACGGGTAAACGTGGCCAGGTGCTGGTCCGTCCGGGAGCACGTACAGTGGGTCACGCGCTGACCTCCAGGAGTGAACTGGTCAACCCACTGGTCCTGGAGGTCAGCACCACTCACCAAGTTCGTAGAGAACGAGGGGAGGTGAAGACCTGACAGGGAGCCAGACGGGACCGCCGGACATGGCAGGACCGTGGAGGAGTGCGCAAGGACTGGACCCCCAGAGGGGTCTGCCAGGGAGACTGCAACCGGCCGGCTGAGCGGCGTGAGGGTGGTGCTGTCGCGAAAGAAGGAGCGGGAAGCACCTGAGTCAAGTGTGAAGGTGTACAAGGCCTCAGCAGGCGCAGAACCAGAGAGAGCAGACTCACCAGCACCTGGAGCAGCAGCCTCACCAGCACCTAGAGCAGGAGACGCACTAGCACCTAGAGCAGTAGCCTCACCAGCACCTAGAGCAAGAGACGCACGAGCACCTAGAGCAGCAGCCTCACCAGCACCGAGAGCAGCAGGCTCTATACCTGGGTCAGGCGGTACGCACAGGTAACAGACACGGGCCGCACTATTAGGCAATGCATACATGGCAGTGAGAATAGCATCATAGTCAAGAGCAAATATATCTTCCCTCTGCCCAAGCAGCTCCAGCCAGGTGGGGAGCTCAGCCTCGTCGCCAAACTCGGTACGCCAGGTGTCGCTCAGACGGGCGAAGCAGCGGGACTGTGTGTGACCAAGCGTCCCGCAAGCCTGACCAGCCCGATCACCTGTGCGAATGACGTACGGGCAGCGAACGGTACTCAAAGGCCCTCTACTCTGAGCGTACCACTCACGAAGCTGTTGGGGCGTAAGTGTCTCGCGCGGACGCTGCTGCAGCTAAAGCTGGCCACTGCCAGACGCTCCCGACTGACCAGCTCCAGGGCGACAGCCACGACGGCTACCGCCACAACCCCAACTAGCGTACCACTCACAAAGCTGCTGGGGCGTGAGAGACTCGCGTGGACGTCGCTGGAGCTGCATCTGGCCACCGCCAGTAGCAGCAGCAGCGCGGGCAGGGCAGGCGCGGCAGGCAGGCAGGCAAGCAGGTAGGCAGGCAGGCAGGCAGGCAAGCAGGCAGGCAGGCAGGTAGGCAGAGGGCGCGGCAGCACGCGAACAAGGCAGGTGCTCACCAGTGGCGGGAAGGGCAGGCGCTCGCCGGGCGAGTAGGGCCGGCGCTCGCCGGGCGGCGGCAGGGTAGGCGCACGACGGCGGCGACGGTGGGGCCGCAACCGCGGCTGCAGAGTAGGGCCGCGGCAGCTGCAGGGCGGGGCCGCGTCAGCGGCAGGTCGGGGCCGCGTCAGCTGCAGGGCGGGGCCGCGTCAGCGGCAGGTCGGGGCCGCGACAGCGTCCTGGCGGGGCCGCGTCGGCGGCAGGGCGGGGCCGCGACCTGGCGGGGCTGCGTCGGCGGCAGGGTGGGGCCGCGACAGCGGCAGGGTGGCGTCGCGTCAGTGGCCTGGCGGGGCCGCGTCGGCAGCCAGGCGGGGCCGCGTCGGCGGCAGGGCGCGGCCGCGTCAGAGGCAGGGCGGGGCCGCGTCGGCGGTAGGGCGCGGCCGCGTCAGAGGCAGGGCGGGGCCGCGCCGGCGGCAGGGCGCGGCCGCGTTAGAGGCAGGGCGGGGCCGTGTCGGCTGCAGGGCGCGGCCGCGTCAGAGGCAGGGCGGGGCCGCGGCAGTGGCAGGGCGGGCCGCGACAGCGACCTGGCGGGGCCGCGTCGGCGGCAGGGCGCAGCCGCGTCAGAGGCAGGGCAGGGCCGCGTCAGCCGCAAGGCGGGCCGCGACAGCGACCTGGCGGGGCCGCGACAGCGACCTGGCGGGGCCGCGTCGGCGGCAGGGCGGGGCCGCGACCGCGGCAGGGCGGGGCCGTGTCAGCGGTAGGGCGGGGCCGCGACCGCGGCAGGGCGGGACCGCGTCAGTGGCAGGGCGGGGCTGTGTCAGCGACCTGGCGGGGCGGCGCTCTGGCCTGATGGGCCGGCAGGGGCGGCTCGCGGGCCAGACGGGCCTGGAGGGGGGGCTCGCGGGCCTGACGGGCCTGCAGGGGCGGCGCGTGGGCCTTACGAGCCTGCAGGGGCGGCGCACGGGCTTTACGGGCCTGCAGGGGCGGCGCGCTGGCCTAGGGCAGCAGGAGGCAGCGCGAGGGCTGCAGGACGGCACGCCCAGCGCAGCACATCACAAGGCAAGGCAGGCAGGCAGGCGCAGGACAACACGTGGGGTAGCGCGGTAACCGCAACGGTAGGTGGGCCCGAAAAAAAGGACGGTCCTACGGACCTAGTGCTCTGAATCCATGTTAGAATCTGGCAGCAGGAATGAATGTGCACTATGGAAGAGTAGGGTACAAGTATGAAACCCTAATCGGGGTTGTACCCCATATTGGCTACCCCACTACACCCTACACATATATAGCATGCATATACTTTGACAACGGCGTGCGTACGTGGGGACGACGCGACCCGCTTGTCATGGTCATATTACCCATGATGTTGCGGACGGGGGCAGTCAGTGGCGGCTGCTGCTGATGATGCTGAACCGCTGGGTTCGGGTTGTGCGTTGAGGGTTGGTGCCCCTAGGCTTGATGCGTGTCGTTTCATGCGTCTTGTCGGCCGGACCAGTTGCTCGGATTGGTCCAGCGAGGGCGAGATCAGAACTTGCATCGATCTGCCATGTGCCCGAAGTTTCTGCAAATTTTGCAGTAAAGGTGTTGCAGCCGTCGCTCTTCTATATTGTCGGCGTTGAAGGCGAGGCGATCCCGGTCTCGTCGCGGCGCTGGTCGCTGCTGATCCATATACCTTTGTTCGACGAGAAGGGAGGCGCATAGGGCGGCCTCCGAGATGACCCCCTACTGTTGGAGAAGCACCTTACAGGGCCGCCATTCTGGGCCGAGCCTTTGAAGCACGATATTCACGAAGATTTCTTCGAAAATGTTGCTTCTCAACTTTGCGATTTGATCACGTAAGCTCCGACAGCGATTAATCTAGCTGTTGGCCTTCTCCCCTGGGGCCATTTTTGTCTCCAGTAGCTGCTGGAGCAGGCGGCTCGATGAAACCGAATCTTTCGGTTGGTACACGTCGTTCGGGTGGCGCCAAGCGTCGAGGGCTAGAGCATGTGATATCTTGCATGATCGAATGCTCAGCGGCTCCGCCGGCGACATGTTCCGCAGCAGGGCGCCATACGCCATCAGGGACTCATTGTAATATTGAGCCATGGCGTCAACGGTGTCGTCGGCGGGTCCCGAGTAGCTCTCGTCGAAATAGTGGAATATCTGTGCGTTTTGCAGCTGCAGCAGCAGCTCCAACTCGAAGCTCCACGTATAGAAGTCTGTGGCGTCAAATCACACACTTGTCTTTATTTTTTATATGCTCAAAAACCTTGATTGCGCATAGAGAATTCCTCCTCGCTGGGACGGAGAGTCTTAGGAGTTGAGCCATTTGTGTCGAGGGAGAAGGTGTGCGGGGCGGTATTGTTACCATTCGAGGTCAGTTGAGAGGGTTGGGAAGAAGTTTCCGCGTCGCCATTCTGCAATGTTTGGAGTCCTTGCTCTAAGCTGGTGAGTCGCTGAAGTAGCCGTGCGAGAACGGCGGTTCCTATCGTCGTCGTTTCCTCGTTTGTCGCAGCCGAGTTGGGTTGCGCTTCAGCCGTCAGATTCGTCTGACCACCAGATCCTCCAACCATTCTCACACGCAAGCGTGTGCCGGACGCCACTTTTCATTCGCCGAAGATTTCTCAGGTGGCAGTGCAAATGATTCCCGAATCGATCTGATACCATACTGCGATCAAAGGATGATCGTCCCTAGGATTACCTCCGGTTCGCACACAACTGATTGGTCGTGGTGGGCCCTTGACCTCAATTCAGAGTGAATGTAAAATGATTGGGATTATTAAAACATGCAAATACAGGGATATAAATAAGAGTACAAGATGGAATACGAAACGACCCGGCTAGCTATTTACTCTAAGAGGTACATTCCCTTATTGCAGCAAAATCCATCCGTGCGACTCCAGACGGTCCGGGCAGAATCCTCGCCAGTGCTGATGCCTGATGCTGTCTGGCTTGACGGTCCAGATTCTTCGTAACCGTATGACCCTTCGCGTCACTTCCGTCCTTTCGTCTTCAGCCTCGGTACTGCATGCTTCGATTGCTACTGTCAGGAGTGCACAGTAATGTTTCACCTTTCACTATTCGTAACAGGTGCAATGCACGGGAAAGCTTTCAAACAGTTACCGTGGCGCGTACAGTTACCGAAGCGCACGGTTGGTTTCTCGATTTAGATTAGCCCCCTCATAGCACATGGCTAGCTAGGACCTTTCGTATCCCAGTGTATTCCTATATAAACCCTTGTACCGCATTGTATTAGTCACTTCTGTTGAAATTTTAATGTCCTTCTAATAGAGTCCGTACCTGACATCACCAATCAACAGGCCTCTGGATAGGTTTGGAAGCACTCTTAGTCGAAAGGGCAGTTTGTCCAAGCTGATCTTTCAGTAAGGGTGGGGCAGCCATGTCAGTCTTGTTTATCAGTGTTGGCTGCATTGTTACTCGTGCTCGTCAGTGTGTTGTGTGGTCCTCGCTTAGTTGTACCTTTTTGTTTAACCAACGTTTAATGTTTAGGTTGACATGACGTGCAAAGTACGATAAAATATATGACTAGAACTAGAACAGGAGGACCTACATATGGGATGGTCTGGCCAGGCCCGGTTCCAGCATAATACTCCTAGCAAGGGAGCAGAGCTGCACAAGTCAATACAGAAACTCCTGGGCAGGACGGTGCTTCTTGCTAGCATTGAACACGGCTGCCACATTCACCCAGTTCAGACCATCGCTGGGCAGGAGGGCTGCAGTCATCAGATCGCCTAGTTTGGCGTCGCCCAGGCAGGTCCGTTTCCAAGTCTTGATACGGTTCTGGCGACTGAAGCCACGCTCGCACTCCACCGTGCTGAGGGGGAGCACAGCTACGGCCTGCCACAGCTGCACAAGGTTCGGGTACGCTCCCATGTAGTCATTTGACTGGAGCATGAGCGAGAGCGACTTGTGGAAGGTCATGTTGCCGTGGTTGGTATCCATGGTGTGGAGAAACAACGGTAGCTCCCTCTCGCATGCCTTGAAGCACACACCTGCCAGGATGGGAGAGCAGAGCAGTGAGAGGGGCGATCGAGGCGTATGGGAGGTGTTTAACAGAACACCAAGGTAACCACACACACAGAGCAGACAACACATTGCAAGCACAACCAGGTGGCGTACCAAAGAGGCGGTGGTGAAACATGTGGTCTAGCATGCCCAACCACTCGCGGCACTTCTTCATCCGCTGCGCGTTGTCGTCGGGATAGCACGACGGCCGGAAAAGCTTGGAGCCGGCCAGGTTCTTGAGGTCTTCTAGGCGGAACTCCAGTCGCGCACCGCAGACCTTCGCAAACTCCTGGCACACCGCCTTGCAGGAGTAGTAGTCCCCGCCAGTCTTATGGCCTGGGATCTTGCGCTCGTGAAGCACGAACTCGTGCTCTGCAACCTCGCCGTTCTGGTCCACGCCTTTGACGGTGACTTCGCGGTGCTGGGGTTTGCCGTGTTTCTTCAAGAACGCGCAGAGCAGGGGCGACTGGTCGTTGCCGAAACGATCCTCGCAGTCCACGTAACGCACCTCAATCGTCCGGCAAGCGAGCGACACCTCCCCCGCGACCACCGTGATGTCAACCTGTGAGTGGGGGTGGGATGAATAGTTGCTGCCAGAGGTTGATGTACAATGGGTCAGAACGGCGCACAACAACCGCCACTTACAACAACCGGGAACATGGCAGTGAAACAACCGCAAACTTGTACAACCAAAACACTCCACATGTTACCTGCTGATTCTGGAACTTGGCGTTGAGCTCGTTGAGCACGGCAAGAATGTCTGCAAGGAAGAAAAGCATGAAGTGGAATTTGAAAGAGGTGATCGTTTCATAGAGCGCGTGCTTGAAATCGTGTAGCATGACGATCGTCGCCAGCAAAACCTTGGCAAACCGCTTGACTGCCTCTCCTCTAGAGAGCCATCGCACATCGTGAATCCCCTTCAGCTCCAAGTTGGTTTCGCAGATGTACTCCTGAAGGTGCTCGAATTGCCGGTGCCAGTTGCTCAACCTAGAAAGCTGCTCCGCCACGTTGCGCACCGCCTGGTCTATGATGTTGAACTCCGTCACCTTCTCAGTGGCATCCTTCGCGGCCAACGCCTCCCTGCTCAAGGTAGAACAGAGGAAACGAGCGATTGAAGTGAGTGGGCAGTACATGATCAACACTACACACCTGCCATAATGCCAATAACACAGACGGACTTACCGATGTGCAATGCAGTGGCACGACACGAGATAGGGATTCCGCTGCCGGAGTCGCGCCACAACACCATTGCTGGTGCCCGTCATGACTCTGGCACCGTCGGTGCTGATTCCAACGATCTTGGACATGTCAATGCCAACGGCGTCAAGGTGGGTCAGTACTACGTCGACGAGACTTGCCGCGTCACATTTGTCAACTGTCAGCAGCGTGAGGAACTCACAGACGCTCGCTCCCTCCTTCATGAAGTGGACGTAGACGATCAGGTGCTTGCCGCGCGCCTTGTCAGTACTCTCATCGAGCTGAATGGAGATGTACGGGCTCGTCTCGAGCTACTTTAGTTGCTCTTGCCGCATGTACTTCGCGGCAGCATCTAGTAGCTCCCCGAAACCGTACCTGCATGATAGAAGCACAGAGGTTAGCACGTTGCCAACCAAGTCAGTTGTGACGGAACAAGTACAACGACAGCACGTACCCCGAAACTTACTCCGAAAAGTAGTTTCCCTTGGAATCCAAGGGAAGGTTCGGGACTCCGAGCTCGGCCATGAACTTGATGGTGCCCACGTAGGAGGTTATTGGCGCCTCCGACTTGCAGATGTACACGGTAGTCTTGAGAGCGGTGATGATGTGAAGCGTGTTGCGATCCAACCCCTCGAACTCGCTCAGCAGCGTTTGACGAAGCTTCCGGCTCTCCTTTGACTTCATCTCGGCGTGTGCGTCCTGGTGTGCGGTGGAGCGCTGGTGCGTCCGGATGCTCCCTTTCTGCATGTCACACCCTCCACTGCCTCCCTTGCCATAAGTCGTTTTCGCGCCTTCAGCTCCATGTTCCAAGCACGTGCTGCATCTCAAAATGGGGAAGCCAACGTCATCACAAGTTAAAATTAGCCACGGAAGCAAAGACTCCCATGACGTCTTAAATCGCTTATGCGCTTTAGCGAACGCGACTTCGGGGTAACGGGCCATCTCTTCGACAGTCGGCAGGCCGTCTTCATCCTCCTCGTCATCACTCCCCTCTTCCTCCACTCGTCGGATTGGACGTGCCGCCTGCTTCAAAGAGGGCTTCGGTTGTCGCCACCACTGCTTAGCACCGCCACCGCTTGACTCTTTGCGCTTCTTGTTCGCAGAGTCGCCAGCCGCATCGCCTATCTCCGTTTCAGGCGCCGTCGCTTCTGGAGGTGAAGGTTCCGTCGTAGTAGTGCAAACTTCAGGTGAGCACAGGTCACGCCCCGATTCATCAACGCGGGTTTCATCCTCGGTTGAAGCAACTACGGGCTCCGGATCTGACAGCTTCTTAGCGGGGGTTCGTAGAAAGCTGAGGCCTATTCGCGAGGGTGATTTTTGGAGTGACGACGTGCCTCGTCGTCACCATCAATGGTTCCGTCAGCAGCCTTGGCGAGGGCCAGAGGGGTGGATGCAGGAGCTGGGCCTACGCTAGCTGTATGAGAGCGTGGTGGTGAGGTGGTTTGCAACCCCTAGACTAGACGAGATAGCGAGGAGGCAGAATTGAGAAATGAAACGAGGAGGACTGGGTTGGGTGCGTGGGAGAGACTGGTCGGTGGGTGAGGGCCTGCTGGGGAGGGAAGAAGATGCTTCCAAGCAGGACACACCTCCTGCACGAAGCAGGTGTGTGTGGCGCTGCGCGGCATTGCCAGCTGGGAAAATTGCATGTGAGCCAGATACAGTTTACGGGACTGTGGCAGTGGCGACGCGAGCCGTCAAGGCGACATGCACATCTGCTGACTCAGGCAAAACGCCGCTAATCACGGCCCAAACCTCGTCAGACCCCCCCCCCCCCCCCGCCGCGTCAAATCGCATCAGGGTGGTACACGACACTAGTCTTTGTCATCAGGGCGAGTACACCAGGCCTCTCTTAAATATAAGTGTTAACAAATTGAACACCTTTTCGGCTAAGGGTGCCTCAAAAAACAACTTTTAAAAACAAGGGTGATCACCTAAACCCACCCTTATGGTAAGGGCCATAAATGTGACTTACCCTGATATCGAGAGGCCTGCCAATCAATCTTCCGCTGCTACACTGTGTGCGATCAACCTGGGGCGATCCTATTAATACAGTTCAGATTGTAACATCACCGGGCCTGACACCATCCAAGAACGTACCCTTTTCCCTCCTTTATTCAACAGCACGAGAAGCTACTCCGAGGTAGGTTGAAGACTATTTTTGAAATATTTGGGTTCATAAGAGCGCATAGATAAAGCAAAAATGTACTGTTCCCACAGCTCTCTTCCCAAATCTCTCCCCACCTCCCTGATCCTCGTGCCCCTTTGTTTCTCTCCTTTCTCCCCAAACCCCTTCTGCACTGTACACCCCCTCTCTCCAACTGTTTCTTGTCGTAACTCGAGAAACACAGTCCGAATCTGCCAATGAAGATGCGTCATGTCAATCGGTCCCCCAACGAGGAATAATGCCCTGCAAGTCAGAGTGCGAATTGTTTGGTAGAGCCTATCACGAAGACACATCCGAATGCGGCGGTTCTCGGTACGACTCAGAGTGGTCCATTCAGACGGTGAATGGATATACACGTACACAACACAATTGCATTTGAAGTCACAGCGGCTGTAACAATGTGAGCCGGTGCGCTTCGTCCGCGTCTGTCCAGCCGACTTTTGTTTCGTTGCCAACGAACTGACCTTTGCTACATGAACTGTGTGAACTATGTTACATATTGTCGGCCACTGCCGTGCGACCAGATATGTAGGAATTATATCACAACTTCGCTCATGGCGAATTACATCTTTAAGCATTGCTACCTATAATAAAAAGGTTTAAAATTTGAGATCCACGTGTATTACGTGAGATGTGATGATGACATGACATTTGCGGCTCCACATGACTGTACATGTACACTCCCCGCCGCGACCGACGACGAAACAGTCTGTTGTGCGTGCGTCAAACGTAACGTAACCCTCGCTAACCGACCAACTTCTCTGATCGTAATTTGTCGTGACTCGTGCGGTGGCCTGTGTCCTTGAGTCAATCAGTTGCATCACCCGTTCTTCTCCCTCCCGCTCCCCCCTCCCTCCCACCCTACAAAGCTCGTCCCCGCCCGCTCCCTTCCCATGCTTGCTCTGACTCCTCTCCCCACATTCCCCTTGGGCACTCTCCTCTCCACCCTCTGAATTGATCTGCCATCAAACCTCCCACTCACCATGCTTTGCGATGCTATGCGACAGGATGGGACTAGACCGTCGCCATGTCTTCAGGGATTAGTCGCTGTCTGCACCAGACGTTGCAGCAGCAGCAGCAAGAATTTTATCAGTGGCGTGGCGTCTAGATCGGACCTCTCGGCAGGCACTTGCGCGATGACTGTCGCACATCGCTCATGACCGCACCAGCATCACGTGGATGCTATCTCATTCGAGCTTCGAGTGATCGCATGTGAGAACGACCGGCGAGGATAGGGCAGGAGGACCGATGTTCGCACCTCCATCGTCCGTACTCGTATTCCAAGTCCTAGCAGCAGGCCCGCGAAAGTAGGCCTTTCGCTGGCTCTAGATCGGCCAACACATTTCCTCGTCGCGGAGTTACTTTTGCGAAACTCGCGCGCTCCGACGGCGAACTTAGTAGCGCGTCAATAGCGGGTGACGGGCTGCAAACGCCGTGCGTACAATTAGTCACATGGCATTCCCCTCCATTTTCCTCGCCATATCGCCAACCCTAACTCCTTAATTTAACAGCCGCAGCGTGTTTCCACACGCAAACCCTTTCCCCACACCACCGCCACTAGAAGTAGCAACAGCACCAGCGCGCCCCCTCCCCCGTCTCCTCCACCCCCGCTTACACATCACTCTCGATCGCGCCGCGCGCCATGGCCACCGCGTCGTCCTCCGTGTCGCGCGCGTGGGACTCGATCCTCGGCTCCGACTCCCTCGACTCCCCGCCCGCCGCCTCCCCCTCCGACTCCCGCTCCCCCTCCGCCAGCGCCCCCTCCGCCGCCTCCGACGCCGCGTCGCTGCTGGAGCGCCTGTGCCCGTGGACTAGCGTGGAGTTCGGCTATCCTGGGTCTCTTAACTACCGCTCGTTGCTGCTGGACTTTCACGGGCAGTTGGTGTCGCCGTGGCACCACGTGCCGCTGCACGCTAAGAACGGCGCGCTGCACTTCGTGTGCAAGACGCCGCAGGATTGCTGGGTCAAGTACGAGGCGGCTCCCGACGAGGATTACACGCCCATCCGCGTTCACCGCGCTCCCGCTCCCGCCGCCGCCGCTGCTTCCGCGAGCGGTGTTTCGTCTCCGTCGCCGTCGCCGTCACATCTGCAGCCGCCTTCGCACGTGCAACAGGGCCCGCCGAGCCGCGACGGCGAGGAGTCGAGGCGAGAGGACCTCGGTCTGCCGCGGCAGGAGGGCGTCTTGAAGGAACGCGCCGCGGTGGACTGGACGCGGCTCCGGCCGCAGCACTACGCGGAGAACTCGATGTTCAACGTGGGGTTCCTTCCACAGACGTACGCGGACCCCGAGCAGCCCGCGGGAGCGGACGCCGCCGGCGGAATTTTCGGCGGCGGTGGCGGCGTGTGGGAGGGTTTGGTGAACGACGGGCGACCGATTGAGGCGATCGAGATCGGCGGGAAGCGCATGCGCACGGGGGAGGTCTGCTCCGTGCGCCCGCTCGCGGTGTTCGCGGTCGCGGGGCCGGCGCGCGCAGAGATGAGCGCGGAGGGGGGAGCGGGTGGGGGAGGAAGCGTGGTAGGCCGAGGGGCAGGTGAGGGGGAAACTGAACGCGACAGCGGAGCGGAGGGACGCGCGGAGGGGCGGCGGACGTTGTCGTGGGTGGTGGTGGTCGTTTCCACGGAGGACGCTTTAGCGAGTGTGATACAAGAGGGGGCGACGGGGATACCATCCGTGCTGTTACCCGTGCTGGAGCAGATAGTGGAGTGGGTGCGCTTCGCGCCTTGCGTGAATCACGGTGAGCGCGCGCCGTGGCTTATCCGAACGCCGCATGTTTAAGATCGTTATATTATTTTGCTTCGTCCTATGTCAGGTTGGATCCATTATTTCCATTGCTTCCATTGATTCTATCACTTCGCCCCACTCCCACCCACTCCGCCCCACTCCGCCCCACTCCGTCGCTTCCGCTCCCCCGCCTCCCCCCTGGCAGACGACGACGAGGCGGAGTTTCCGCTGGGCGAGGAGCCGGGCGGAATGCAAGCGGCCATGGTGGTGGTGGCGCAGGCGCACTGCGCATGGCAGCTGCTGGCGGACGACTGCCCGCCGCCGCCCCCCTGGGTCCCCGCGGACCGCGTCCTTTCCGCCTCCGCGCTGCACCAGATCTGGCAGTCGCGCGGGTACCTCCCCCCCGTTCCGCCGCGCGTTGCGTCCTCCGCCTCCGCCGCCAGAGCCGCATCCCCCGCGCCGTTCCCCACGTCCTCCTCCGCCCCTCTGGGCCCGGGCCCTCCGCCCTCCCCTTACACCTCCGCCTCCGCCTCCGCCTCCGCCAGCGCATCCCGCCCCACGCCTCTCCCCCCCAACCTGTCCATGCCGTCACTGCATCTCACCGTTTCCTCCTCCTGCTCTTCCCCCTCCGCTTCCCCCCTCCATACATCCAATCCTCCCGCGGACTCCGCCTACGCGCTCCCCCCAGTCTCCCCCTCCTTCCCCTCCCCGCCGCCGTTCTCCGCGTCGTCTCCGTCCGCGTCGCCCCCGCCCGCGCTGCCGCCGTTCGGCGCGATCCCCATGTCGGACCAGCGCGTGGGTTCGTCTGCGCGGCGGAACGAGGCGTGGGCGCGCGCGTCTATAGATTCCCTTGCCTTCTCCTCGCTCTCTCTCTCTATCGACTCCTCCTTCCTCTCCAGCGGCTTTGGCAGCGGCGGCGCGGGCAGCAGCAGCGCGGGGCACAGCAGCAACGGCAGCATTGGCGGAAACAGCAGCTGTGACGGGGACGTGGGGGGCGCAGGCGCGGGCGCGGGTGGGGGCGGGGGCGCGCGGGGTAGGGTGGAGGAGGGGCTGGGCAGGGGAATGTTTCGGGGGGGACTGGGGGGTAGCGGAGGGGCTGGGGGGAAGCGCTGCGGGCTTCCGCGGCCCGCGAGCTCGGACAACCTGAAGCGGTTCTCGAGCGCGCCCGCTGAGCGGGAGAGGGGCGAGGGGAAGCAGCGCGAGTGGCGCAGGGCGCAGAGGGCAGGCGGAGGGGCGGGGAAGAGAACCGAGGGAAGCAGCCTGGGGTCGCAGGGGGAAGGGAAGAAACAGCACAGCAGAGTAACAGCAGCGGGAACAGCAGCGGCAGCGGCAGAAGCAGAGGGGTTGAGTGATGAAGGGCGAGCGGATGCGGATGCGGAGGGGGAAGGGGAAGGGGTTGGGTCGGGGGAGTTCCAATTCGACGTGGTGCAGATCCCCGGGTGTGGCTTCCACCTGCTCAGGCACGCCGCGGGGGGCATGGGCGCGGGGGAGCTGGGCGCGCCCATGGACGGCGGAGGCGGAGCAGCCATTGGGGGGAGCTTCAGGGGAAGTGGGAGGGAGCGGAAGGCGCACAAGGGGGGGGGTGGGAGCAGCAGCAGCAGCAGCGGGAGCAGCTTCAGCAGAGGCGGGCTTGGGAGCATGAGTGCGAGGAGCAGCAGTAGCAGCAGGCACGGGGGGGGCGGAGGGGCGGGGAGCAGCAGCGGCAGGAAGGCGTACTGGGCAGGGGACTTGCTCAAGGGCAGCATTCCCGTGAGAGCAGGCTTTGGCAGTGCAAGGAGGGCGCCGTCGGGTTATGGTCCCCGAGGGGAGGCAGGTTCGGGCGAGGGAGGAGGAGCAGCAGCAGGAGGAGGAGGAGAAGGAGAAGGTGTTTCGTCGGTTCATCTCCTCTCGGCATCTCACCGCGGTGGTGCCTTTTCCAGTCCTGAACGGTCCGGATTTTCTGCAGTGGCAGCGGCTGATTGGGCTGCTAGAAGCAGTGCTGTCCCTCACGATTCCTCCTCCTCTGCTGCTGCTGCTGCTTCTGCTTCTGTTGAAGATACTGGTATTGCTGGAGGGCCCAATGTTGGGCCGGTGGAAAGTTCCAGGTCATCGTCTGTGGCTGTAGCAGCTGCAGCAGCAGCAGGAGCAGGAGCAGCAGCTGCAGCAGCCACAGCTCGATCCGGCTCTGCCCCTCCTTCCCGCCTGGAGACATTCTTCAGCCTCCGAGGCTCCTCGTTACAGTCTCAGTCACAGCTGCAGCAGCAGCAGCCGCAGCAGCAGAGCGCGCTGCTGCTGCCACGTGGCGCTCCCTCGTTGGAGAGGCTGTTCGGTCACCGCAAGGGTAAGGGCAGCAGCCACAGCGGCAGAGGGGAACTGGGAGGAGGAGCAACAGAGGCCTATGCAGACAATTATGAAGCTTCAGCAGCAGCAGCAGCAGCAGCAGCAGCAGCAGCAGCAGCAGCAGCAGCAGCAGCAGCAGCAGCAGCAGGCGGGGAGCTGTTTGGGCGCGGACTGTCTCTGAGCAGGGCAGAGAGGGAAGCGAGAGTGGAGCGAGAGGAGCGAGAGGAGACGGGGGAAGACGGTGCTGGGGTGTTCAACCGCCAGTTGAGCCTGGACCAGCTGTACCTGCGGAGGAAGAAGAGAGCAGAGAGGAGGCTCAGGGGCGCAAATAGCAGCGCCTCAGATGCGCCTCCCCTCTCGCCTCCTGCTAGCTCGGCTCTGGGGTGGGTTCTTGGGGGAGGGAAGTTCAGCAGCAGTGGTGGTAGCAGTAGTGGTTATGAGGGTGGGAGGAGGCGAGGCGAAGAGAGTGTGGGGGGCGCGCAGCATGGTAGTAGCAGCGATGATGCGACACTCGTTGCGTTCCGTCTTTCCCCGTCCCTTGTGTCCTCGCACCCTGGTGGTGCGACGGCCAGTGAATCCATGGCCTGTTCAGAGGGGTCAGCGGCGCATGAGACGGCACCAGCCATGGGTGGTTTAGCTCGTAGCATCGGCAGTGGCAGCGGCGGCGGCGGCGGCGGCGGTGGCAGCAGCACAGGGCTTCAGGGCAGGTGGTGTGATTTGATAGAAGAGTATGGGGGGTCTGGTGCTAGAAGCAGTGCGAGTCCGACTGAGCCTGCCCGGCCGCCCCTCCCCCGCCCACTCCCTCCAAGAGCCCCTTCGCTCACTAAGCAGGGGCTGGGGGGAAGGCCAGGGGAGAAGGGGGGTGAGGGGGCGGAGAGAGAGGATAGAGGGGCGGATGGAGAAGAGGCAGTGGTAGAGGGTGCGGACGAGGGGCAAGAAGATGGTGGAGACCTGGGGTTGGATTGCAGTGCAAGCAACGGCAATGGAGCTGGCAGCAGCAGCAGCTGTGTTGTCAGTTGGGAGGAGCATGAACGCCAGGCGGAGGAGAGTGGCGTTGCCCCATCTGCTGCTTCTCCATCTGCTGCTGCCTCAACCGCTGTGTGTGCTTCCAGTGCAGAAGCATCGGAGGCAGCAGCAGCAGCAGCAATGGCGGCAGCAGCAGGGATGAGGAGTCCGAGCAGGGTGGGGAAGCGGCAGGTGTCGTTCCACTCGGTGGTCAAGGTGATTGAGTTTGTGCAGGCACGGGAGGGAGAGGACAGCAGCAGTGGCAGCGAGTGAGCGATGATGGCCTGCTGTGTGTGTCATCAGTGGAGTGGAGCGGGAGAGGGGACTGATGTGTGTGTGCAGTGCACATCTGTTGACAGGTGTTGCCGGCTCTGCAGGGTGTGTGTTCATTATGACGACGGGGGTGTCAAGTCAGGTCAGCTTGATGCAGGGAATGACAGGCGTCAGATGTGTGGTTTTGTGTGGTCCAGCCAAGTGTGGATTTTAGCACCCGTGAGTCTTGAACTTGTGTGCAATCAGCTTATAGGGTGTTTGCAATGACTGCTATTCTTTCGTTATACATTGCATTTGATATAGACAATTTGTAGGTTATTGTTACGAGTGCAATTGAGTGATCGAGCGAATTGCACTATCGAAGCAAGAGTACAGTGAGCGAAGGCATGAGCGAAGAATATATAGCGAAACCACAGTGGTAACGGTTATGAACTGTGGGTGACACGCGACGGGCCTGGAAGTGAGGTTGGGAAAATGTCGAGGCGGAGGCCCGGAGCGCGGGTTACCCGCCGAGCCGTGAGGTCGGGGTGCGACGTGCGAAGGTGGCGGGAGGATTGTCGATGCGAGGGTTGCGAGTGGTAACAGTTGTTGGGCTGAGAAAAGCCCTGAGGATCTTTGCAGGACTAAACTCTGAGTAGGAACAATGTAATAGCGGAAGTGTTTAATGATAAGTCGGTGAACCACCTTGCGCTGGTGTGTGAGGGCAAAGTAGATTGATTAAAGCAATGTGATACAAGCCTTTATAAGAGTACAAGGGAATATGACATGTTATAGCTAATAACTGTTTTACTGTTGCTGTTGCGGTTCGATACAGTGACGACTCGGGCAACTGCTCAATAACGAGTCAGTTGTTTGTTCTTGCTGTCGCGCTGTACTTGTCAGGTCAAAGGTCGCGGACCTTTGATTTTCGCGTAACCTCCAGCAGTTGTTCAACCTCCGAGGGTTGACTCGCCGATGCTTCACTGTACTTCACTTCGTTTACGACTTAGTGCTTCGACACGACAGAGGCGCTTAAATTACTTGTTTCCAACACTCCCCTTCGCTTCTGGAGTGCCGTTGCTGGTGACATGGCCTTGTCCAGTCAGCAGCATGCAGTACTCGAACTTCTGCTTTCCGAGCTTCTTGGTCAAGTAATCAGCTGCCATCCCAGACGTGGGGCAGTAAGACAGCTCGAGTCTCCCCTTCTCGATCTCGTCCTTCACGAAGAAATATCGCAGGGCGATGTGCTTCGTCCTGTTCTCGAATCTGTTTTTGTTCGCGATGCGAATTGCAGACTGGTTGTCGCAGAACAGAGAGAAGCTGGGTAACTGGGCCAGTTCCGCCTCTTCCAGCAGTTCGCGAAGGTAAAGTCCTTGGTGGCTGAGCAGAGTGCAATATATTCTGCTTCAGCTGAGGAGAGAGCAATTAGTTCCTGCTTGCTCGACTGCCATGAGATGGGCCCGATAGGCTCGAGTCGGTAGATGTAGCCGGTGCGCGAGCGCCTGTTGTCAGAGTCGCCGGCGTGATCAGCGTCGACGTAGCCGATTAGCTTAGGTGTCGAGGTTCCGTTCTTGTGATAGGTCAGGCCAATCGTCGAAGTGCTAACGAGGTAGTGTAGAGCGCGGTCGAGCTCCGCCATGTGCTCGGCTTCAGGTTTCTTAAGGTAGGTAGCAAGTTGGCTTGCGGAGTACGAGAGATGCAGTCGGCTGGTGACGGTTGCGAAGAGCAGGCATCCTAGTTTTCGTTGGTAGTCGCGTATGCCAGCGGGTTTGAGTAGAGCGGAGCTTTCCTTGTGATTTCCGGCGGTGTAGCGGTATGGCGTGGAGATGGCGGTCAGACAGAGTCCGAAGCGTTTGGCGATGGTGTCGGCGTATTTCGCGGCTTTGAGGTAGATCGCGCCTTCCTCATCCTGGATGTTGAGGCCGAGATACTGTGTGACGGTGGACGAGACCGTGAGCGTGAGATCTTGCTGCAGTTCCCCTTTGAACCAGGTGGTGACGTTGTTGGTCGAGCCAATGTAGAGCAGGTCGTCCACGTAGACGATGAGTAGAATGTAGTCGTCGCCTTTCGTGAGCCGGTACATGCCCTGGTCGTGCGGTAGTTGGCGGAATCCAATGCGGATAAATCTAGCGTGTAGGTACTGTTGCCACAGTCTTGGGGCCTTTTTAATATCGTACAGGGACTTCAACAGCTGACAGACTTGGTTGGGCTCTCCGTTGGAGCCGTGTGGAAGTTCGACGAAGATTTCGCCGTCAACAGGTGCGTAGCAGCAGCTTCTTGGCGACGTCAATTTGCCAATGCTTTTTCTTCTTCAGCATGTAGGTACTGTTGCCACAGTCTCGGGGCCTGTTTAATACAGTACTGGAACTTCAATAGCTGACAGACTTGGTTAGGCTCTCCGTTGGAGCCGTGTGGAAGTTCGACGAAGATTTCGGCGTCAACATGTGCGTAGCATCAGCTTCTTGGCGACGTCAATTTGCCGCAGCTTCTTCTTCGTCATGGCGGCGATCTCGAGGAGAATTCGAAGCGAAGTGTGTCGGCTGACCGGGGCGAACGTCTCGGTGAAATCGTGTCCGTGCTCTTGGTCGAAACCGCGCACGACCCAGCGTGCCTTAAACTTGTCGATGGTGCCGTCTGCCTTTGTCTTCACACGGAAAACCCATTTTCCGGTGAGTACCGTTTTGTTGCGTGCCACGCCGATGGGAACGACTTTCCAGGTGTTCCGTTTTTCCAGCGCTTTCAGTTCCCTGTCCATGGCTTCGCGCCATTTTTCCCTATGCTTCCCCCCCAGAGCCTGCTGGACTGTGGCAGGCTCCTGAGGAATCGCTGTGCCGTGGACCGCAGTGATGAGGCCGAGTATCTGGAGGCCACTCTGTGTGTAGCGGGGAAGTGTTGTGTCCTCGGGATAAGCTGCTTCGTCTCCTGCTTCTGGATCAGGTATGAAATTGGGCCCTATGCGTTCTGCTTCGTTGGTGTTGACTCTTGCAGGTGTAACGTAACCGTTGTCGGCGAAGTGGTAAAGTACTTCGGCGTTGACGCTTTCGCGAGGATTTTCATCATCCATTGGGACGTCGAAAGAGCAGTAAGGGAGAGGTCCGGCTTCCTCCGAGGCTTCATCCACGTTCTGCTCATCCTAGTCAGCTTCGTCTGCTGCCGAAGCGAAGGCTTGATCACCATGAAAGCCACCTGTGGGGTCTCGGTCTTCTTCCAGGTTGGCAAGGTACGTCGGGAGTGTGAGTCGCTCGTAGAAGATGACATCACGTGCTGCTACTGTTTCTTTTGAGTGGACGTAAAAAATATTCCATGCGTTGTAATTCTTTTCGATGCCCAGGTGTAGTCCCCACTGTGCGCGTTGGGAGAATCGGCCGGCTCGTGCAGCTGGGGGTCGGTACTGCACCATGCAGCCGAAAACTCTTAACATTTTTGTGCTGCCCTGTTTTCCTGTCCACAGCAGGTGCGGTGATGCGTTGTTCGGGAGCGATGATGACGAGAGCAAGTTGTGCAGCATGACAGCGTGGTCCATTGCTTCGGGCCATTGGTGGTTGGGTAGCCGCATGCCACGTAGCAGCTTGCGCATGGTGTTCTGGAGAGTCTAGTTCATCCTTTCTGCTACGCCTTGCTGTTGGTGAACGTAGGGAAGAGAGATGAGCCGCTTGATCCCTCGTTCTGCCAAGTACTGCTTGAACCTCTGTGAGGTGTATGTGAAATAATGAGGAATGAATGAACTAGGAAAGTGTGTGATACAAATATGAAACCCTAGAAACCTGTACCCCTTAGTGTCTACCCCACTAGAGCCTACAAACACTATGTCATATATATCCGACACACCGCCATAGGCAAACTGGGGGAGAACTAGGGGTCACAAGACCAGTCAAGCAAAGCAAGCTCAGGGTGGATCACAATGTCACCACACATTCCGAGCACCAATTCAAGGCCACAAGGCCAGTTCATATGCAGGATTATATATAAAGGTAAACAAGCAAGTGTAGGTATAGATAGATCACAGTACAAGCAAGGTCAAGAAGTGAGCAAGTGAGGCCAAGTAGGCACAAGACCTAGCATCGTACAAAAGCGCTGATGATCACAAGGCGGAAGTGCCTTGGTAAAGATATCAGCAGTGTTGGCCCGAGAGGCTACGTAAGCAAGGCGCAGCTGACCACGCTGCTGCAGCTCACGAGCAAGAAAGTAGCGAAGAGCAATGTGCTTCGTTCTGTGCTCCAGTCTGTGCTCCCGACACAAGGCCAGCATGGCCTTGTTGTCTACGTACAGAACTGGAGGAGAACGAGGCGGCTCTCCTAGGTCGGTCAGCAGGTAGGTGAGCCAGCGTAACTCCTGTGCAGCCATGGCCCCTGCGTAGATCTCAGCCTCACAGCTGGAGCCGAGAACAGAAGACGAGCGGGTAGACCGCCACGAAACAGAGCCGGAACCAAGGCTGAAGGTGTAACACTGTGACGACCGCTGCGTAGCCTGGTCGTCCGCCCAAGAAGCGTCTGCGTGACCAGTGAGGACCACTGGACTCCGCCCTCCAAGCACAAGCCCCATGCCCGACGTACTGCACAAGTAGCGCAACACCCTCTTCGCTGCAGCCATGTGCTCTGGTCTGTGTCTCCCAGGAGCAACATAGCGTGCCAAGATGCTAAGAGGGTATGCAAGGTCAGGTCGAGTGCAGGTCATCAGGTACATGAGGCAGCCAACAAGCTCTGGGTACGGGCCACTCGGCTCTACGGACTCATCCGAAGGCAGAGCTGAGAGCGAGTGGCGAGTAGACAGAGGAGTGGCCTGAGGCGAGGAGTACGTGAAGCCGAAGCGCTGAAGGACCTGCTGCACCATGTGTGACTGAGTCAGAGTAATGGTGCGCCGTGCTCTGTCCCGGGTGATCTGCAAGCCAAGGTAGCTGCGCAGTTCACCCAGGTCTGTGCACGTGTGTCTCTTCTGCAGCTCCGACTTCACGTGGGCGAGTCCAGCAGTGTCAGCAGTAGCAAAGACCAAGTCGTCGACGTACACGAGGATGTAGAATGGCG